AAATGAGTTATGTAGATGCTTTAGAAAATACTAGAATGCCACTACATGCATATTAATGACCAAAATTTGGAAGATAGACAAGAGTAAATGCTGATGATAGCGGAACTCTCACAAGTACTGGTCAATGCTAAAGAAGACAGCCTCTTTGGAAAACTGGAAATTAAGTTGTTTTTTAAAAAAGACTTATTTTATTTTTAATATATGTATGTGTGTGAGGGGGCCAGAAGTGGGCATCAGGTCCTCTGCTCTGAAACTAGGAGTTACAGGTGCATGTGAGCCACACAGCATGGGTGCTGGGATCTGATCCCCAGTCCTCTAGAAGAGCAGTTCATGTCCTTACCCACTGAGCCACCTCTCTAGGTTCTGGAGATTTTATAGAAAGTAAGACACTTACATGCCATATGAACTAACTCCCCACTCTACCTACTCAAGAGAAATGGCAATGTCTGTGAATGTACATAGAAACTTGATTCATGAAAATAAAATGGAGAACCAGCTCTGATGCCCATCAATATGTAAATGCTTAAAGAAATCGTATTACATCTACGGAAGGAACACTAATCCATAATAAACAAAGGGCCAATGCACCAAACCGCATGGGTGGATCTAAATATTGTGAATTTCTAAAAGGAACGAAAGATTACATGCGCACAATGGTTTTTAATATAACATTCTTGCAAAAGAATACAGAGATGGGCAACGTGGGTCAGTGGTTCCTGGGATTGAGTTGAGTCGTAGGGATTGGCTATAAAGGGACAGTGTGAGGAGATTTGGAAATAATAGGACTGTTTTATACGGATCTGTGGTGATGGGACACAAATCATTGCATTTCTTACAACCTAAAGGAGTTACAAAAACAACTCCGAAAAGGATTTCTGTTACAACTGAGTGAATTTTTAGACCCTAATCACCTCCCCAGGGTCCCACCACAGGGAATAAATTCTATTGCATGTAAATTTTTGGCTATTAGCAGGCATTGAGAGGTACTTACAATAGAATGCCAACTATGACAGACGGTGCATGCTACAAATGAATCATAAACCCACCGAGAGGAGTAAGGAAAATAGGAACCGAGTGAGTAACTTTGGAAACAGTGTTTTGACAGAAAGCTGCAGACTAAACACAAAACAAATTGCCTGCCAACATTGAACTCTAGTTAATACATTTTTCTCAGCAGAGTTAGGTTAGCAATTTTGGAATTACTTTATATGCATAGCAGTGTTGAAAAACAAGTACATATGTAGTAGCTAATGACACTCATTTCTCAGTCCTCAAAAGAGATGTTCCAAACAAGGTAAGGAGGGGAGGCAAGAATGAACCCAGAGATGCTGGCTTAAATGGGGTTAGAAACAAAACTCGTGGCATTTTCTAAAGTTTATCTAAAGACAGGTCCAGAGCACAATATGGTTAAGTATAGCTATGTATATGTGAATGCATAAGTTGGCATACATGTGGGTACTTCCTAGCCCTGTCCAGAGAAAGCTCAGAAGCAGTCATTTGCCAGTAGACATGAGTACACTCTAGTGCCCAGACCTTGAGTTCCAGATCCATTCTCCATTTTCTAGGAATCAGGGCTCCTTGGAGAATTGATTTCACAGAATAAGCAGAATGGAACCTCTTGGACACCTTGGCCAGGTAACTGCTGTCAGACAAGCACGAGCCTGACGTGGATGCAGGTCTGTGTGGTTAGCAATCAGCAAGCTCGGCATTGGAAAAGCAGATCTGCAGAGACAGCAACAGCTCTGTTACAAGCATATTTTGGGGGAATGACTCCAGGAAAAAGTAGATGGGAGAGGTGCTAAACCCCTGTCTAAAGATTAATCTTGATTTTCAACTCGATTGGGTTGGGCAATGCCTTGATTAGCAAAGCCCCCGTTCATCATGTCTGTCAGTACGTGTTAAAAAATGATTAGATCATGAGGACTCTGACCTAATGAATGGTTTAATTCATCAATGGATTCAAATTATAAACAGGATATTGGGATATTGGGAGACAGGGCTTGGTTGGAGGAAGTAGGTCACTGAGGATGTGTCCTTGGGAACCACAGTGTGGTGCCCTGACCCCTTCCTGTTACTGCTCTAGTCTGTTCATTTGACACCATTATGTGAGGTGTTCTGCCACACATAGACACACACACACACACACACACACACACACACACACACACACAACTGGGAGAAAACTCTGAAACAATGAGGAAAACATTTCTCCAGGTGTTTTGGTCACAACTACCCAAGAGTAACTTGGGTAGTTGTGAATCAAGTCAACTTACCTAGAACCCAAGGGAGTGAGCACCTTTTCTAAACAGTGTAGCAACAGCACAAAGTGAGATCACAGACGCCACGAGTGGTGATCGACTAGGTTGGCACGGCCTGGAAGCTCAGCCTGAGCAGCAGTTTGCTCCTATAGCCAGGCAGATCTCAAACACTGTTTCCCAAGGAGCATGCTAAGCTTCTGGAAATGGATTGATTTTATCCTGAACAGTCCAGTCCCATCTATCCTGCAGTGTGTCCCAACAGATTAGCCCAGGTTTCCACAAACATGTCAAAACCTGGGCCACAGAGTGTTCTAAATAATAGGTCTTTGATGATGACAGTTCTTTCCAAGATTTGTCTTTTTTTTTTTTTTTAAAGAAAGACCCAGACTTCCATGATCCTATTTTTCTCCACACTTCTATGGAAATTACAAAACATCAGTCTCTTCTTCAAAATATAATAAGCTAACTTTCTCCTTCACTTGTTTCTTCCAACTCTAGAATCCTTCACGTCCATGCTCAGTACATTTCTATGGACTTGATCAAACCACCAGTGATCTCTTGAAAGTCTACATTCATATACAAGCAACATTTTTTTGTGTGTGTCCGTGTTTACTATTGTCTCAAAAGAATCATTTGTTGCCAGCTTCTGGAGTTGAAAATGAGTGGTGAAATGGATTGTCTTGTGTGACAATTCTTGGTAATCCTGAAGGGCTCTCCCAGGCTGGGCATGGCAAACATGATGCTGGCAGGCCCTCCCCTTTTTCCTGCCTTCTCCCTTGTAACCATAGACTACATCCCTAAAGCGAGCCACCAAGGCCTATTCCCTTATTTGGACACATTCTTCTGCCAGACTCATTCCTGAGTCCTACTACCAAGGTCCAGTTATCAAAGTATTGAAGCCCAGCAATCAAAAACCCCCCTGTGACAGGTCCTGCAGACCCAAAGCTGCAGATTTCCACAACACAGGGGACCAGCAGGATATCCAAGAGGAGTCCCAGTGAGGGCCCAGCACTGATAGTGCAGCAGAAACCAGAGATCTCGAAGTAAAGTAAAGTAAAGTAAAGTAAAGTAAAAGCAAGTAAAGATACATGGATAAAATGGGTTTAGTGTGTGACTCACTGTGTCACATTACATTATAGCTTCCATGACCAGATTGAGTTTTTTCCTTTTTCTCTTCAATTTTATTTGTAGGGGGAGGTTGCAAGAGCAGAGGGTGGATATGAAGGAACAGGGAAGTGAGTGGGATGGAGATGCATGATATAAAAGACACAAAAAAATGAATAAAAAGAAGGGGAAAATGGGGAAGGAATAAGCCCCCTTTGGCTCATCTAATTAACATGCCCAATCAAAACATACCACGGCATCCTAGCCCATTCTAACACAGACTCCCCTTTTCCTCCTCTTAACAAAATCACACCTGCAAGGTCATTTGCTGCTGTTTTTCTGCCTGAGTCAGAAATCAGCCCCTTAACTTTTCTTCCTCACTTAATAAAGGATCTCTCTGCGAAAATAGGTGTTTGGATGTGGTTTGTGCCTAATCCAGGGTTCAGAGGAAGCACCTAGCTCTGTGAGGGTCCCTTCAAATCCTGTCTGCCATCATAAAATGTGGTAGTGCCAAGTTTGCCTCAGCACATATTGGTTGATTGATGGACTTGGGCTAGGTAGTAGTCTAAACAGTCTCCATTTACCTGGGATTACCTTCATTTGATCTCACCAACGAGGAGGTAAAGCATTCTACAACACATGGTGGGCAGTTCCATAAGGTTCAAGGAAGCAAGGGTGGATAAAGAACTGTAGGAGGTTGCCAGGTAGTGGTGGCGCACACCTTTGATTCCAGCACTCGGGAGGCAGAGGCAGGTGGATCTCTGAGTTCGAGGCCAGTCTAGGCTACAGAGTGAGTTCTAGGAAAGGCTTCAAAGCTACGCAGAGAAACCCTGTCTCAAAAAAACAAAACAAAAAAAGAACTGTAGGAGAAAGAGTCTAAGAAGTTTGCAAATGAAAACTGGGAAATGGAGATGATGTAATTTAAGCAATAAGCCAACTGAAGATCAGTGAGGGAGAAAGCCATGTAGATAAGCAGCAGGCAGTGGAAACAATCAGAGCAAGGTAGGGGGGTCAGGCATGGGTGCACATTATCTTACTTCTCAATTGCTTTATAACTGTCTGTGAATTCTTACTGTCCATGTTGTTCAACTAAGTCTGGCTTAAGGGGTCCCCTCCGTGAAGCTGATGAGATCCAGTCACTGCAATGGTCCTTTTCACTTCCTAGGCTCAAGACAAAAACCTCATGCTCTGGATAGGAGACCCCATCTATGGTGATCACGACTAAGATGGTCACGATCAAAGCTCAAGACTGAGTGTGCTGCTCTCTATGTCCTTCTCTTGGGGACCCCAGACAACGAAGCCCTTAGACCCTAGTTGCAGGTAACCAGTGCCAGCCTGGCACAGGTACCACTCCATTTCAAGAATGCATCATGGGAATCGAAATACCCTGTCTCTTGGTCCTGCATCTCTAAGTTAACCAGCAATGATCGCTCTGTCTCCCCAGATTCCAGGAACCTGCAAGTCCTGTACTCATCAATTCCTCAACACCCACCCCCATTCCCAATCTGGTTCCAGACCTTCTGTGGAGTTCCCTAGTATTTGCTATTGATGGTTGATTAGTTTTTATTTGCTTCTTTAAACAGTAATCACAACATAAGAGCGCATGACTCTCTCAGGATAAATCCAATTGTGTAGACACAAAGCTTCTATTGTTCTCTTGAGGAAGAGTAGAAGGGAAAGTACTTCTGGTTTTGAGGGGGGGAGGGGCTAAACCCGAAGGGCTGGGATATTTGGGAAAGTCCATCAGGGAGAAGGGAGAGCAGAGAGATGTGTGCATTGGATGGGGTGCTCTCTCCCATCATGACTGTAGTCTGGAGATGTGGCAGTTCCAGGGGTGCCCTCCAAAGACCTTCCCTGGGACAGGGAACTGAGGTATGACTGCTGGGACAATGCTTGTTTGGATCCTCCTTCCAGGGAGTCATCTTCTTCTGGTCTTCCAGGCTCTCCGAGGCCTATGAGCATCTAACACACACAGAGCCTGGCTGGGTGAGGGAGAAACAGCGCAGAGATAAGGGAGGCTGCTGGCCTTGCAGTGGCCCCAAACGTGCCCAGTTAAAAGGTCGGAATCACTGGGAAGTCATGAGCACAGCCCTGTGCACACTGGGCCCACAGCGCATGCCCTGAGGCATAGGCTTAGGGAGGACTCTGCTTGAGAATTTGCCCTTTGCCTGGGTAGAGAGCTGCTGTAATCTGCTTTCTTTCTCAGGGGTATTCTTTGTTTCTTGCAGCCTACAGAAAGGCAGGACCAGCCTCCTAGCTGGTGGGAACCCCCAGTGCTCTCGGTTTTGAGGTCTGAAATCTCTGTGTGACTGCCCTGTGTTGCCTAGGTGACCAACACTCTCCTGCTTCATGACCTTCGCAGCTGCCTGGGCCCTTAAGTACAAAATTTACTTTCTGGGGTGATGAAAACAGTCACTTCTACACTGCCTGGTAAGGAAACCACTAGGCCATGAGACTACTGAGCTCTTAACATGTGGTTACTACAGAAACATTTGATTTAGTTTAAAATCATTTATTGATTCATTTATTTCAAGACAGGATCTCACTACATCATATGGCTCTGAACTCACTCTGTAGACCATTCTGGTGTTGAACTCACAGAGATCCACCTGCCTCTGCCTCCTTAGTGCTGAGATTAAAGGTCAGTGCCATCGGTCCTAGCAATCTATGTGTTTCTTTTTTCTTTTCTTTTTTTTTTTTTAAATGTGTAGTCCAGGCTGGCCTCGAACTCAGATCCACCTGCCTCTGCCTCTTCAGCATATCCTACCGGCCTGGGCCACCAGAGCCGGCAATCTATGTGTTTCTTAAAGAGCACATCAGCTCTAATTGTGCACGGTTTCCCGTGCTCAATACTGCGAGACTTCCTGGTCTGCCCAGAGGGACTGTGAGTAAGATCATGCAAAGGCTGTAAAGCTCCTTCAGAAAAACAGCTCACAGAAAACAATCGCTATTTACCACAATGATTTCTTCAAAGCCTGAGTACATCTAAAAACAATTGCTTCGATCTGAGGTTTATACCAGATAACGAAGACCCTCCTAAATTCCCGCCACACATCCCTAACCCCAGTGGGGGAGGAGAGTCTAGTTTTGGGACACATCTTTTTACTTTGCCCCGCCCCCAGCTTTGAGGACATAAAAGTCCAGTTTTAGTGAGAGGTAGTGACAGTGTGTCAGGTGAGCTGTGGAGTTGGGTTGTAGACCCCTTCCTCACAGAGGCCTTCCTCATTGATGGGACCCACTGGGGCAGGGCTGGGTATGGAGAGGGAGGAGGGGCCTTGGGAGGCAAAGGATGGTGAGCCATTTCTCAATGCTCTTCTCTCTGTACTCACATGCTCTGGGCACTTCCTGGGCTGGGGTCTTTTGCAGAAATGAAGCTATTCTTGGCCTTGGCAGGCCTCCTGGCCCCTCTGGCCATACCTCAGACCTCCAATGGTGCCACTCCAGGTACTAGAGCCAAAAGGAGGGAAGGGTGGGTGAGTGGGGGGGGGGTCTCAGCCCAGCAGCTCCCTCTCCCCTGAGCAGGCCTCCTGTGTTCTGGAGCCTGATGAAGGGCTTGGGGACCACTCCTGACCTTGTGGTTTGTGCTCTGGGCAGCTATGCTGGGGGGCGTGGAGGATTCCGTGATCCTGACCTGCATGGAGGAGGCCAAGCAGCTGGTGGACAAGGCCTACAAAGAGCGGAGAGAAAGGTAAGAATTCCAGGCACTGGGCAGCCCTGGGCAAACCTGCTGCAAAGCTTTTGGAGAAGGGACACACAGCGGGGACTTTGTGGAAAGGATGGGGACGGTTGCACAGGTGGAGCTGCACCTGTCGATCTGTACTTGAGTTTCCCGCTGTGGGGACATCTCCAAAGCCACCCCTTCAATACGCAGTCCTGGCCCACCACAGGCTGGGCTCTGCTGAGTGTCTCTGGCCCTTCCCTGACCGTCCCCTGTCTAAGCAGCATCAAAGAGAACCTTCGACGCGGCACTGCTAGCCCCATGGAACTCATCTCCTACTTCAAGCAGCTGGTGGCAGCAACCAGAACAGCTGTGAGGGCTGCAGACTATCTCCACGTGTCCCTAGACCTGCTGAAGAGGAAGTTGCAGCCCCAGTGGCCAGGGCCTTTCAATATCACTGGTACTGCAACGGCTCCCCTTTACACACCACCCCTTCACCCTCTGGAAACCTCTACCTAGCATGAGCCTTTCTCTACCATGAGTTTCTCAACCTGTGGGTCACGACCCCTTTGAGGATCTAATGACCCCTTTCACAGGGGTCAAGTTGCAAATTTACAGTTAGGCAGTAGCAACGAAAATAGTTTTGTGGTTGAGGGGCCACCACAACGTGAGGAACTGTATTAAGGGGTCGCAGCCGCATTAGGAACCCTGAGAATCCTCGCTCCAAGGAGTCTCAGAGGTAACCCAGAACTCCTCTACTTCCCAGCTGGCGAACCCACGCCACCCTCACCCTCTTTGGGCTCCTCAGCCCCAGGTTGTCTAGCACAGGAAACGAGGTGGGAGAGGGCTCGGGTCTAAGGTCCGGGGTCACTCTTGCAGATGTGCTGACACCCGCTCAGCTGAATCTGATGTCCAAGTCGAGCGGCTGCGCCTATCAGGACGTGGGGGTGAGGTGCCCTGAGCAGGACAAGTATCGCACCATCACGGGACTCTGCAACAACAGGTGCGGGCCCAGGGCAGGAGTTCACGGATGTGTGACGTAGTGGGTCTAGGCCCCGCCTGTGGCGACCCCTTGGGCCAGCGCTCTGTGCTTCCCTGCAGGCGCAGCCCCACGCTGGGGGCCTCCAACCGCGCCTTTGCACGCTGGCTGCCCGCAGAGTACGAAGATGGTGTCTCCTTGCCCTTCGGCTGGACGCCCCGGGTCAAGCGCGGTGGCTTCCCGGTGCCCTTGGTGAGCGTCCAGTAGAGGGAGAAGAGCATAGCCAGGTGGGCAGGGCCCAGGCACCCACTGATGCCTGCTGTCGCTGCAGGCTCGAAAGGTGTCCAACGCCATCGTGCGCTTCCCCAACGATCAGCTGACCCGAGACCAGGAGCGCTCGCTCATGTTCATACAGTTTGGACAGTTTGTGGAACACGACGTAACTTTGACTCTGGAGTCATTTACCCAGTCCTCCTTCTTCACTGGCATCAACTGTGAGACCAGCTGCCTGCAGCAGCCACCCTGCTTCCCGCTCAAGGTGCTTCCTTCCTGCACCCAACATGGATGCTTCACATTAGTGGCCATGCTCCTTCTGTGCCCTAGTCCCTTCCTAGCCCATTTGCTGGTCCTGATGCTGGGGTCCAGAGTCAATACTCGTCTCCCTCCGCAGAGCCAGCTGTCAATCAGTGTCAATCTCCCAGCCTAGTATGAGCCCTGGGTGGTGGGGTGACTGGCTCTTTGTGGGGCTGGGAGAATCCTGGGATGAGGACCTGATCTGTCTCCTTCACACTCCCAGTGTTCCCTGCCTCTCTGGGGGGCTTTTCCCTAACCCTGCTTCACATTGTGTGCTCATGTGCATGCGTGAGGGAAGTGGGCAGAATGGAAGCAGAGATTGAGAGGGAAATAAAGGGACAGGAGACTGACAGGGACATGGTGACAGCCAGGGGACAGAGAGGAAAAGGCAGAAACCAGAAAGAAGAGGATTAAGAGGCACAGTGAAGAGGGGTCAGAGGACTGGCCTTGCCTAACCCCATGGGGGTCTCTGCATTCCAGTTCATGTATTCATGTCACCCCTACACCTCACTATCTCTGCTGGAGGAGCCCCATTAATGCTATAGGTCCTTGAGAGGCCTCCCTGCAGGTTGGAGGGGTCAGAGTTCTCTTGGCAGGAAGTAGCAACTCACGCCCTACCCGCAAAAGCCAGGCTAGCCTCTCTCTGTGCCGCAGATCCCACCTAATGACCCTCGAATCAAGAACCAAGAGGATTGCATTCCCTTCTTCCGCTCCTGCCCAGCATGCACCGGGAGTAACATCACCATTCGCAACCAGATCAATGCTGTTACTTCGTTTGTGGATGCCAGCGCAGTATATGGCAGCGAGGACCCCCTGGCCAGGAGGCTGCGCAACCTCACCAACCAGATGGGGCTGCTGGCTGTCAATACCCGCTTCCAAGACAATGGCAGGGCCCTGATGCCCTTTGACAACCTGCACGACGACCCCTGCCTCCTCACCAACCTCTCTGCTCAAATTCCTTGTTTCCTGGCAGGTCAGCCTGGGGCCTGGACTGGAGTGGCATGGAGGTGTTCCTTGTGGGAGCCTGTATGTGAGCAGCCTGTGGGTTTGTGATGAGAGGCGCAGGCAGGTCTCACCAACTCCTTATCAGTCTAGTTGCCTTGGTAACAAGTAGGATAGAGACAGAAAGGAAAATAACAACCACAGAAACACTGCACACACACACACACACACACACACACACACACACACACAAGCCTCCACCCCAACAGCCTAAGATGAAGACACAGGCTGCAAGGAGCCTCTGTCATCTCTTTCTCTGCTTCTTCCCTCCTTTGGACAATGGAAAAGGAAAGAGCTGTCGTCCCTTGTGGACAGAGAACTAAAAAGACAAAGAGGAATGTGGTGCCCTCGCCCTGTAGAACTATGCTGTCCAAGCTGGAGCCAGTAGCCTCCAGCGGTTATTTTCATTTAAATTATTTTTAACAGGGGGCGGTGGCACATACCTTTAATCCCAGCACTTACTCAGGAGGCAGAGACAGGAGGATATTTGTGAGTTCAAGGCCAGTCTGGTCTACAGAGTGAGTTCCAGGACAGTCAAAGCTACATATAGTGAGACCCTGTCTTGAAATAAATAAATAAATGATTTTAAACGTAATCAAAAGTTCCTGAGGTAGCCACATGTTAAGGGCTCGGTAGTCCCATGGGCCAGTGGCTCCCCTACTGGGCAGTGGAGAAGTGACTGGTTCATCACCCCAGAAAGTTCTAGTGGATAGAGTCACAGAATATCACCTCTTGGTCATTTTGGTTTCTTAGGAAGATAGAAAAGGGGTTTCAAATAGAGAGACCAGGAAGTTTGGGGATAGGATTGGGGCAGGGGTTGGGATCACACCCAGAAATCCAACCCTCTCCTCAGTGATTTTAGACTCGGTTGTATAGCTAGCCTTAGCTGGTCTGGTACTTGCTTTGTAGCCCAGGCTGGCTTCAGAAGTTCCTCAATCTTCCTGTCTTTCCTCCAAGTGGTGGGATGTCACACATGGGCCACCACCAAGCCCAGATCAGTAGGTGTTGATGTAACACAATGGAAGCAGAGGTCTCTTCTTGTCCCTCACCCTCCCTTCTAAGGGCTCCTGATGGGCTCTGGCAGGATGGCCAAGGCTGGTGCAAAGGTGGATTTCCTAGGGGAGGGAGGGCCCCCTCTCTTCTGGGCTAGCCATGACCTCTGTTGTTTACGGGATGGAGAAGCTGTTCTCGGGATGCCTTTTCCTCTTAGAATTTCCTTTCTAGAGCTGGCAAGGGCTGGAGCCAGTCAGTGTCTTGCAGCAAATGCCCTGAACCTCACCCTCTGGGCCTCCCTGTTGAAGGTTTCGGGAAGGCTTGAGAAGTCAGGGACTTAGTTTCCTTGAACAGTCTCAGGTGTGGACGCCACACGGTCTGTTCCCTTCCCCCACCACAACAGGCCAGACAGCAGGCTTCCAGTAAGCCTGCTACCGACAATTATGTTCAAATAGTGGGGGCTTTCTGGGGTCCTGTCTTGAGAAGGATTCTGAGGTTGCACTCAATTTTGCAGAAAACATGCAGCTGCTTTTTGGCTTTCACCAAAGAGAATAAGCTGAGTATTCCTTCTCAGGAGTGTTCATGTATTGTGGTGTGTGTGTGTGTGTGTGTGTGTGTGTGTGTGTGTGTGTGTGTGTGATGTATGGCAAAGGGTAAAATGCAGAAAGGCACAACCTTGTGCTTAAGGAGATCCTTAAGTAAGGCTGATGGCCATGGGACAGGGCTGCAGGAAGGACCACAGTGTTCCTAAGCTCTTCTATCAGCCTGGCGCTGACCTATGAGTCTGCTGTGTGCAGGTGGGTGGAGAGCAGGCACATGAGAGTCCCCGAAGGCCTTTACTGGGCAGGGGATGGAAGGACACAGATGTGACAAAGACTTTGCTTCTTTAAGGGGACATGCGCTCCAGTGAGATGCCTGAGCTGACCTCTGTGCACACCCTCTTCGTTCGAGAGCATAACCGCCTGGCCACACAGCTCAGGCGCCTGAATCCTCACTGGAGTGGGGAAAGGCTCTTCCAGGAGGCCCGGAAGATTGTCGGGGCCATGGTCCAGGTAGGCTGTCCTACAGCATTCTGGCCATGTGTTCTTGGGCCAGTCACTCTCCCTCCTCAACACGGGCTTCTTTACCCATAATGCTATAAGGTTCAAGAGCCAAATGGAAACACTGGCAGATGAGACCTGCCTGACCAGTGCGCTTCCCTTCCCTGTCTTCCCAGGACTTCCTTCCTGAGGGCCCAGGGATGCTGCTGGCTGCTCTTTCAGGCAGCATTTCTGTATTTGTTGCTAGGGAGGGACTTGAACCAATGTAGCACTGTTATTATTGGTTCTTTTACCCACTGGTCATCATCTTGAGTCCCCCACCCTCCGGGGAGGGACACTGTTCCTCTGTTTTCTAACATTTGATGTTCCAGTGACTCCCATTCTCCCAAGAATGTCAACAATCATCTACATTGTGAGCATGGGTGCACAGAAGTATGCACTCATGCATGCACTCATGCATGCACGCACGCACGCGCACACACACCTTCACTAGATTTTAGAGAGAGAGGTGAAGGTGTTGAACTTAGGGTTTGATTTACACTCACACTCACAAGTGGGATTCATTTCAGCCTCAGAGGCAATTCTAGCCTTGGATCTAGTATGAGACGGTCCCACAAATTCCCTTTCACTGGGGGGCTTCTCCAGGGAAAGCAGAGCAGACCTCAGCCCTGCTACAACCCTGTAGCAAGCCCTACTGTGTGCAGGCTAAGGCTGGGCACTGTGAATAGTCTCAGGAATTTCAAAAATGAGACACTACTAACTAAAGACATCAGAGAGAATACCATGACTAACAAGGCACTTTGTTTAGTCTTGTGAGAGAGACAGGGATATAATTTATTCCTTGTTTACATGTGGTTCAAAGGTCAATAGATGGCCTATGGTTGCAAAGCTCTGTTTATGTCCTTCAGCACCACTCTGTTAGGTTCAGATCAAGGGCTCTGCTCCTAGCCAGGTGGGGGTGATCCCCGAAGCCAGAGACGGCAGGGAGGAGTGAATAGACATCTCTTGAAGTCACTTTGTTTTAGATCATCACATACCGGGACTACCTGCCCTTGGTGTTGGGGCCAGCAGCCATGAGGAAGTACCTACCCAGGTACCAAGGCTACAATGACTCAGTGGACCCTCGCATCGCCAACGTCTTCACCAACGCTTTCCGCTATGGCCACACCCTCATCCAGCCCTTCATGTTTCGCCTGGACAATCGGTACCGGCCTACAGGGCCCAACCCCGGGGTCCCACTCAGCAGGGTCTTTTTTGCCACTTGGAGAGTTGTGCTGGAAGGTACGTGGAGGCTGAGAGAGGGGTGGTGTGAGTTCTGCTGTGGGGAGCCAGGCTGGGGAGAGATCTTTTTCTGTTCCTTCTTCGGGGAACAGCCTGGCTTTGCAGTTTCACTGACCCAGGAGGCAAGGCCTGGGGTCATCACAACCTTGGGAACCCTAGGGTCAGAAAGTCACCTTGGCCCCAAGTACTACATGTGCCTAGACCTCTTCTCTGATCCTTAGAGTGTACCTGACATCTGGTAGCAAGCTAATCCTTCCTTTTACCTTGCTCTCTTGTGCCCAGGTGGCATTGACCCCATTCTCCGAGGCCTCATGGCCACCCCTGCCAAAGTGAATCACCAGAACAAGATCGTGGTGGATGAGATCTGGGAGCGACTCTTTGAGCAGGTGATGCATGAGCAAAGCATGGACCTGGCTGCTTTGAAAATACAGCACAGCAGGGATCATGGTCTCCCAGGTGAGGAGCCAGCCCCAGCCCTGGACCACCTCCCAGGGAGTTCATAGCTTCCCTTCCTACACAGAGCCCTTTCTCCAGCTCTGAGGAAGCACCCCAGGGCAGGCCCTGTCCTTTCCAGGCCCCCTCAGCCAAATTTCAGCCTCTCTTGGCTTCTTCACAACCCGGACTCTTGTATCCTGCATTAGCAGCTGAAAACAGTACCATTCTGTGATCTGGACATCTGTCTCCATTATCAGTTCCTTCTGACCCATTCATGGACTCGAGGGCAGGAGGGCACCACTGCCTTCTTACTGATCAGGAAACTGGGGTTTAGAGGGGTTCGGAGCTTAGCTGGGTGCTGTAGCGAGGTCAATGAGTGATCTGGAACTTGGACCCCAGCGGACCATCCTAACCCAGAAGCCCATGCCTGTGTTGAGGAAGCAGTGGCCACACCTCTGAGACACACTTTCACTCTCTGGGTCAGAGAGAGACGCTTCAGGATGATCGAAGGGACAAGACGCTGTTCCCATGCTTGAGTCTGGCAGGATTTGTGGCATGATAGGGCTTGCCTCAGAGTGAGAGAGAAAGGAAAGACAGTGAGAGGTCTGGAGAGGCCCAGCTGTCCACTTTGGCCTGAGCCAGTCATTCAGGGCTCCGTTCTGCTTATTGCCCCCGAAGTGGGCTTTTGAACGTCTCTATAGATCTCCCTGCTGTTCCCGGTCCTCTCTCTACCTGCAGGACAGGGGCCCATTCACAGCCACCTGTCCTCTGACCCAATGCAGGATACAACGCCTGGAGGCGCTTCTGTGGGCTCCCACAGCCCCGCACAGTGGGCGAGCTTGGCACGGTGCTAAAGAACCTGGACTTGGCACAGAAGCTGATGGCACAGTACGGCACCCCCAACAACATTGACATCTGGATGGGTGGTGTGTCCGAGCCCCTGGAGCCCAATGGCCGAGTCGGTCAGCTCCTTGCCTGCCTCATTGGCACTCAGTTTAGGAAGCTACGTGATGGCGATCGGTAAGGAAGCCGTGGGATGGCAGGGCGGCACACACGTGTGGGTCTAGGAGGGGTGTAAAGGCTACAGCGCTTGTGTCCAGCTCAGAGGACAACTTACAGGAGTTGGTTCCACCATGTGGGGTCCAGCGATGGTTCTCAGGTTGTCAGCCTTGGGGGCAAGTGCCTTTACCCATTGAATCATCGTGCTGGTCCAAAAACGCCATTCTTACTATTTCCTCTGCGTTCCTCAGTGTCCCTGTGGAGCTGTCAGTCACCATGGAGAGTCACAATTTAGTCCCAGCGTCTCCCTTTCATGTCATTTCGTCATGGTCCTGACCATCTCCATGTCTAGTTCTTATCTAGCTTGCATGACACGTCTGGGAATATTATAAAGAGGTGTCCCAGTCAAGGAGAGCAAATCACAAATGCCGGCCAGGTTGCCTTCTGCCCTTTGGCTGCAGGCATGGAACAGGGTCCCCGAGACTGCTGGGCGGGAGCAAGGGACATACCCAAGTAGCCATACCCCGTCTTCTGTGCTGAGTGGGCACTGCCCAGGGCCTGGAGCTCTCTGTGCTGTAGGGCAGAATCTTCCGTGGCCCTCTCACACTTGGGATGTCCTCCCAGCTCAGGATGTTCTCATCGGGACATCTCAACCATGATGTCCATGATGCTCCCATGCAGGTTTTGGTGGGAGAACCCAGGTGTGTTCAGTGCACAGCAGAGACAAGCCCTGGCCAGCATCTCCTTGCCCCGCATCATCTGTGACAACACCGGCATCACCACTGTGTCCAAGAACAACATCTTCATGTCCAACTCATACCCACGAGATTTTGTCAACTGTACCTCCATCCCTAGGCTGAACCTGGCTCCCTGGAGGGAGGCTTAGAGCCTGGGTAAGGGCACTAAAGGGTGTCCCTGGTGGGTTAGTGGGAACCACAGGGAAGTCTTCCCTTCGTGAACCCATCCTTGTTTTAGATGCCAGCTGAAAAATAATTACTGGATATTAGTTGTGTGTGCACATGTATGTTTTCATATATTCTTATACATGTCTGTATGTGCAACATGTGTAAGTTAGCATTTCACATGTGTATTTGTTTGTGAGCATGGGCTATGTTTGGTGTGCCCATGTGTAAATCAATTACATGATTCTGAGCTTACTGCTTATGAGAATGTTAAGAACATGGGAGGCAGCCAGCAGACTGTGGCAAGTCTTAATTTTGTAGCATAGTACTGTAATTTGGGCAAACGACTGTAAATGTTAATTCTCCTTCTTACCAATAAAAGCAGTCATCACTTGTTAGAGGGCTTGTTGCATCCTCCAGATCTCTGCTCACTGAGCACCTACTATGTGCCAGGCACATGCTAGGCATGGAAAATAGAGACAAAAAGACAAATGCCAAGTCCTCGATCATATTCTGGTTGGCAGAAACAAGGCTGTGGCCTCTGGAGGGGTACAGTTAACAGCTGGCCTGTGTGCTTGTATTATGGGCCTAGGCTAGCCCAGCTCAGCCCATGGTTTCTCCTTCTTCCTTACCCTGTTCTCTTGCTATTCACAGGAGTCTGTCTGGAGAAGAACTGAGGCCATTGGCTTTTCTGTATCATTTGTTTGTAAACCTGAAGTATACACTAATAAAACACCCTGGGTGAGATCTGTTCTGTGTCCATGAAGGGGCTGCAGCCTCAGTGGGAGGCTCCCTCCTGTCTGATCCTGTGGTCTGTACCCTTGTGTTTCTAGAGTGATGGTTGGTGTTGGGAAGCCCTCTCTGGCTAGTTCATGTGTGGAGGGTAGCTGGTTCTTAGAAGCCTTGAGGCCGGGCCACACTGAGCAGACCCTCATCCCTCACCTCCCTCCTCTACCACTCTGTGGACAGGAACGTGGCCACCAAGTCCTGACATTTGCTCATTGCTCTGGCACGTGTTTGCTACTTGCTCCTTCTGTGTCAGACCCTGGGAAGTGGAGGGGTGTGTCTGGCCCGGGATCTTGTCAAGAGCTGGCCCGTACTGGGTTGGCACACTCCTTCTCTCTCCTGGCTTCTCACTCGTGGGGAAGGACCCCTGGGAGTGTATGGTATGCAAATGACTGTAGAAGGAATCCTAATTTGTCTTAATAATAAAAACTCAGAGCCAAATATGAGGGTAAATGCTGAAATATCAGTAAAGCTAAGCGGCCAGCTACTCCTTACCTCTACCGAATCCTCAGTTCAAAAGGTGCCCAGCTCCTGTCTCCACCCTGCCTCATCACTTCCTCTCTCTACCCAGCCCAGTATCACTTCCTGTTTCCTCCTCCCAAGTGCTGGGATTAAATATGTGTGCCACCCTTGCCTGGCCTCTAGTGGTTAGCCCTGAACTCTGATCTTCAGGCAAGATTTATTGGTAAAGCACAAACAAAATATCACCACATTTCCTCTTTTTTTTTGTCTAAAATAAAAAAGATTGTAACTAATATAAGAGAAACTATATACAATAAGTACAATAACTATATACAATATATAGGCAATAAATACATCAAGAATGTCTAGTCCATTCACATTTGACTAATTTTGAGAAAACATTCCACTGTTTATCCTATCTTGGTGAGTCCAAAATGTTGTACCTAATTCACTTTCTATCCTAAGTTGTATTACCAAAACTCTTTTTTTAATGTCTCTCAACCTTATACACTTTACACCTCTCTAGTGAATTTGTTTTCTGAATCTGGTAACAAAGAAAACTATATCTATAACTATAAAATCTTCAACTCCATCAGAGACCTGAGAAGAAAATAATATTACCTGAGTAAGCAGGAAGTACAAGCAAGTGACTTCCAAAAAACATAAGATATGATGGAAACAATTGGCTGCCTGGACAGTCACCCAAGGTTCCTCTGCAACATTGGAGCATCCATCTTTGGCCTACAGGCCTAGCATATCTCACAGACTTTTCTGTGAAGTAGGATATTCTGAAGGCTGTCCTACCTTGTCTTGGCAAAATTCACCAATCCTTTCTTTTGCATCCTGCTTGTCCAGCATACTGTCAGCAGTCCAGGCAAGGGCATTTTCTTGCTCAGTAGCTAACTTTTGCCACAAAGAAAATAAACTCCATATGGAGTTTCTTCGATGTCCATCATCTTCTCTGAAGTAGATTAGTGTTGTAATGAGTAGACATGTCTCATTTTCTTGAGGAAAAAAAAAAAAAAAGACCTGATTGGACTAAGAGGTGAGTCTTTATCCTCATACCAGCACACCCCAGCCCCTAGGCTTTGGGCCCAGGGCACAACCCTGCGTCCCTACACCAACCACCCATTGCAGTCCCAGTTTCAGGCCAGTCAGCAGAGGCAGACCTCCTGCAGACAGGTCAGACTATCACCATCCCCCATCAGACCCTGTAACCCAAGCCCCATCTCCCCCAAATCCCACCCACCCTCTGAGACTGCAACCGTTCCCTGAGACAGAGCCCGCCGGCACCCGATTGGACTAAGAGGTTTCTACTTCGACTGCAATACAATTTTGTGAACTAAAAAACAAACAAAAAACAAAAAACAAAACAAAACTCTATGGTTTTTTTTGGGGGGGGTGTTTTTGTTTTTGTTTGGTTTGGTTTGGTTTATTCGAGACATGGTTTCCCTGTATAGTTTTGGTTCCTGTCCTGGATCTTGCTCTGTAGACCAGGCTGGCCTTGAACTCACAGAGATCCGCCTGGCTCTGCCTCCCAAGTGCTGGGATTAAAGACATTCATGACCACCGCCTGGCTAAGAACCTGTGTTATTAAAACATCTTAAGTGCCGTATTCTGTAGATCTCTGAAATATTTGAAGACAACCTAAATATATCTCTGTTTGACTTTAAAAACATACCTAATATGACTACCAGTTTAATTGTAATAGGTGACTAACTACTAACCTGTATTTCTTTATTATCCTAAATAATTTATAATAACTTTCAAGGACTAGAACTTTGCATTACATTGTTAAATGAGTTGCATAGGTGCAATATCTTGAACAAGAGTAGAAATGTATGTATAGTATGTTCTAACAAAAATAATCTCAAATTTATATCAATATACAAAGATCCACATCAATGTAAAATATTTAAGACTATTAGTTGCTTTTTTTGGTTTAAAAGTAGATTCAATAATCTACCTTTATCCTATCATATCTATATCCCCTGCTTTTCTTTTCAAAACAAGAACCCTGAATCTAAACTCCTTTGTTCAGCTTTTTTCCTGACCATGACCAATAACAACTTGTAACCAACCATCCTAAACTATGACAAATATCCATAACCCATTGAAAGACCAAAAACCACCCACCCCACCTCTTGGGAATGTGGGCATTGTGTTCTTAAATTTACTTCCTGCTGTCTGGGGGTGACAGCATCTTTAGGGGATCCTGAAAAGAAAAATTGGGTTAACTGTCAAGTCCTGGGAGAGGTAGGTGTATCATTTGTTGTCCAGTCTCTGCATAATGGGAAAGTGCGGGGCTTGTCTCAAGTCCTGGCTGGAGTAGTCTGTGAGGCTGGATCATCTCAGCTAGCCATCTCAAAATTGTCCTGAGCAGTTTGTAGTCCAAAATTGATCTTTAGGTGGTATTTGTCAGCTTAGTGGCATTATCATAGTCCATGTGGAATCATCATTGTGGAGCCCAATCATCCTTTTGAAGACTTCAAAGGTCTCTGTTAGACGTCATCATGGTTCATTGCAGAAAACTTAAACATTTTAAATGTCATATGCAGCAGATCTCAAAGAGGTAAAAGGATCAGTATTTGTTATGTACATCCAGAATATAAAAACTTAATTCCTAATTACTTGATGGAGACTCAAACCTGAAATCATGTACGGGAAGCTAGATGAAGCCTTTTTCTAGAATTAGTTAGTACTCCATATGACCATTAATATCATGACAAAAAGTTGTAAAAGTATATATATATATATATATATATATATATATATATATATATATATATATATATATTATAAATTTTGAGATAATATTCATACCTTATGAAAAAGTTTCAAAGAGTCAAAATAAAACCAAAGGATAATGAGATTAATGGCAATAAAATGGTCCCTTAATTTTTGTTTTTCTTCTGTCCCATATCAGGTAGGTCTTCTGACATGAGACAGAGATTTTGGATTTTACTTTAACAAGCTCCAAAGCCAGCTTTAATTTTTAACTGGACTGAGACTACAATAAGACCATTTGCATTATATATCCGTATAGAACAGCAGAAACAAACATTTTGGGAGTATTTATGAAAATTTATCCTGTTGGAGATATTGTATACCAATAGGCCAACTTACTCTTTTTCTTGGGACATTTTTTTCTGGATGATTTATCCTTTTCCTTCAGATGTCTCTTTTCTTCAGTGGTTTTCATTCTCCTGAAAATACAAAAACAAAAACTTGCCCTAACCCTAACTTAGGGGAGGTTCCCTTTTTTCAAGTTATATCTGATCAAATGAGAAGCATTTTTTAATCTTTTAAATTAGTTTAGATTGAACAGTCATACTGTTTGATGAACAATCACATCTTCTAATCAAGAGGTCTGTCTGTCTTGTTCAAATTAAACCTTTGTCAATTTTGATGGTGTTCATAGATTTTCTTCTCCTGAAGAAACAAAAGCAAAACCTTGTCCCCAGCGTAACACATATCCTGGTTTCCATTCTGAGGTCAGCACATCTTTAAACTATACAGGTTGATTTAATTCTGTAGTTTTTTCTATTTAGTCTCTCCACAGCATTTAGAAAATTCAAAGTCAATAAAACATTATACAATATATTTCTGGGGGTCTTTATTACCCCTTTCTGTTTATTTGGCATAACCTTTAGAGTTCGATTTCATCTTTCTATAGTTGCTTTCCCTGTAGGACTGTGTGATATACCTGTAATATGCTTTATATTGTAATAAGCAAAAAGCTGTTTCATTTTACCAAAGACATATGCTAGAACATTGTCAGTCTTAATACGTACAGGTATACCCATGATGGTCATAACTTCTAACTAATGTGTGATTACAGGATCAGCCTTTTCAGAACTCAAAGCAGTTGCCCATTGAAATCCTGAACAGATATCAATGGTGTGGTGTACATGTTTTAATTTGACAAATTCTACAAAATTAAACACACCAATCTGCCAGATTTCACTCCTCTGAGTATCCTTTGGGTTACTTCATGCAGGTAGTGGAGTTTGGTTGTATAAAGAACAAATTGGACATTTCCTTATAATTTCCTTGGCTTGTTTCGAAGCAATGTAAAAATCCTTTTTTAAACCCTTGCTATTGATATGGTGGTTTTGGTTTGTTTTTTTTTTATGAAACTCTGAAGCCTCCAGCACATTTCCTATCAATAGTCGATCAGTTTCATCATTACCTCGTGCTAGAGGGACTGGCAGACCTATATAGGATCGGATGTGTGTTATCTATAAGGGATGATTCCTATTCCTGATTGTTTCTTGTAACTGAAGAAATAACAAAGTTAATTCTGACTCATATGGTATAAATTCAGCAGTTTCGATGTGTAAAACAACTCTTCCTGCAGCCAGTAACTAGTTAAGAGGTTCTGTAAAATCCATCAATACCATCAGAATAGCATTTAATTCTGACTTTTGGACAGGATCATACGGGCTTTGAGCCACTTTACTTAACTTTTCTGATTTGTAACCTGCCT